CCAGTTTTTTCATTGTCCTGCAACCACAAAATTCTGGTGACATGCAGTTATTGAGCCTGACACTGAATATAGAAACATTTAAAAGGGAAATGGAGTGCTATAATGCAGAAGAATAGGGAGAAGAAAATAAATTAGAAAAACCAAAAAATTGAAAATAAAATAAAATAACTGATGATCCACAATCATGCAAATTTAAAAGCAAACCACAATCACATGATTGACACACTCAACCATAAGCGATCTTACCAGCAATATGATATTCCCCGCCTATTGTTAAAAAATCATCCATTTAGCACACAGATTGAACTAGGGCAAGAGAAATAACACAGTTTTTAAGGTGGTTCAGCAATATGGTTACTGCATGGAGCCACTTGCAAAAACTTCTTAACTATTGAATAGCACGATCTTAAAACAAGGATGTTTCCTTCATTTACAAGAAGAAGAAAAGAAAGGAAACTGCAACCATGCAGGAATTCCAACTAAATAAGAAAGAATAAACCTATAGGAAAAAAGAAATCCAAATTTTGAAACACTATAGAAAGAGAACTACCTTAAGGAAAGGGTTGAGGGAAATAAGCCAAAAGGTACATGCAATCACAAACAAAACTTTCAAGTTGATTGTTACATACCTGAGTATAGGAAAATGAAACCAATCTTGAATTTCCCAGCCAGCGTAAACCCCTAACAGTACCATTATGAGCAGAAAAGCTTGCAGCAACCGCATTGGCAGGCACATCAATAACATCAATTGTCCCATTTTGAGTTCCTAAAGCAACCAGTGGAACAGCAACTGCGGAAGAGCTTCCTCCACCTTCAGGCAATAGCATCCCATTAAAGTCATATAATCTCACATTTAGGTTTGCTTAAAATCATATTAAATATTAATACAAACGGAAACTCAACAGATGGTAATGAATGAACTAACATGCCAATGTTGCTGTTAGTGAAGGGGATGGCACTGCCAGCATGGTCACAGTTGAAGAAAGAAGCTGTAGTTGTCCAACTAAACTAATCTGCATCAGGGACTTACCCAGTTACAAAATGTAACAAAACCCAACGGCTTTATAAGCGTGTTGAAGAACAATGCTGCCTTCCCAAATGGTCATTGTTCATAGAACAAACAACCATAAAAGATAAAATCAGCAAACAGCTAAACTTGTAGTTTAAAGCACTTTAGACAAGAGGAGTTGAAGCGTAGAACAAGTACTTTGCAATTTGTATTGCATGTCTAAGTATCTGAAAACTAACCAACTTATCACTTAGATAAAACTAGATTCACATTGACTTGATACTTCATGAATCACATTTGGAGAAACCTAATTAGAAATTGCATTGATTCAACAGAAAACTCCGTCAAGATTCTCCCAATGATCATGACCCTCCACTCAAATTAAGTTTCATCTGGAAGCGTTTGAGAACCATACATTCAGAGGAGCACAGTTGTTTCTATTATCCACTGGAACAAACATAACAATAAAATTAAAGATGACAAGAACTTATCCAGCAATAACATCCAATACGTCCAACAGTTTGAAGACTAGTAGCTCCAGAAATTCCAAAGTTGAATCCCATGTATGCAATAATCTTCACCATTAGTAGCCCTTAGACTTGAATTAGAAAATACGAAGAGAACCAGTGACTGATGAGAAAGATTAGTAAAGCAAAAATGCAACCACTATAACTCCAAATAATATTGCTGTTTTAGTATGCATTTTTCCTTCTAGTAGCTCTACCCATGAACCCTAAACACTTTTTTAAATATTATCATAACACTAACACAATAAGATTCAAATATGCCATTCAAATTGATGTCCAGATCCGGGATCCTATTAATTATTTGTTTATCACTGAGTTTTCTTTTTTTTTTCTTATGGTGCACTCACCCATTGACATTTGAACCCAAGCACTAGGACAAAAGTGCTGGGATACTAACCACCTGGCTAAAGTGTGGAGTTTTCCACATGGACCATATTTCTGAATTAAATTGCAATATTCAACCACCAATTTGATTAAGGAATTTGTGTGCTCAATATCATATAGTTGATAAGCATGCCTGGATAATGTATTATTGCTTCTCATTGTTTAAATATATTTCGTGATTCCATCTTACCTTTTGGGGGGGAAAACACCAATTGGGAACGGATCCCATCAAATTTGATAAGTAGTTCAATCTTTGCATTTCTCTAAGCATAAAGAAAAACTCAAAAAGAAGAGATAGAGAAAGAGAGGATTCAGAAGAAGAGGAAGTTTCAGCAAACACAAGAATGGATTTAGAAATTCCACTCAAGTCATAGCGTCGGTACCCTAGCTAAGGACAGAACCAAAGAACTTCAAGAATATAGTCACAGAAATTGAGAAAAGATTTAATCACAAACCTTATATAACATATCTGCCCGGCTTAACATAGAGGTCAATGTACGGCTTTTGCTGCCACTGTCGTTGCCTTGCTGACTGACTGCTTCAAAGACAAGTCGCTCATTAAACGAGCTTGGGCCATTATTGGTCCCAGAAATAGCCACTTCAGCGCTGTCAGTACCCGAGCCTGAATTGGTATCATCCTTCTGAGTCTCTCCAGCTCCTTCAGCAGTTATGAGCCAGTTCCATATTTTACCATCATCAGATATGGAGAGCAAATGTGTCTTGGAAACAAGGAGAGTGTCATCACAAAAATCAAAAGGATTATCAAAATCCATTTGAGGTGAAGGTGCATCAGAATAAAGCTTGCCAATATTATGAAGAGTAGACTCTGATTGGCAGATGAGAACACTGAGAACTGATGGCGAAGGGACAGATGTGCCGATTGGTGGCATCAACTCCTCCATGGTGCACATTACATGCACCTGTTCTCCTCTGCAATAACAAGCAACAAATTACACATGTCCTTTGATTAGAAAATCTCAGATACCATGCTAATCTTCAGATCTTTCTGTCATAATATGAAGAGCATGCCCAACTTGTAAGAAAACAGAACAGTGACAGAAATTATTCACATCAGTTGAGGATTCAGTTTAGGCAAGTTCTCAGAGAACTCTGAAGAGTGGATAGCAACTGAATTGACAACTTATGTTTTTAACCAAAGATACTTTAGTCAAATTTATGAGATATCAAATTGCAGCAATTGAAAACTATAAAAAAAAAAAAAGGTGCTAGACACTAAGACCCCACTGGACTAACTTACAAGTTTCCTAATTCTACTAATCAAATAATAGACCCACTAATGTCGAAGAGTATCAACATTAATGAAAGGGGCTATTTAATGATACCAATTCTCAAGCTAAGGTTTTAACAAATATAACTGCAGATATTAATACACTCTGAGACTTTTTTTTCCCTCAAATCTTTGAAGAATCATTTATTTGCTGCATGAAAAGCTCAATCCACCGGAACTTGAAATTTTCCTCTACAATGGTTTGCTGACTTAAGCACATGGTCTCTAATGGAAAATAGCTCCTCTATAAAATCGTAGTATGATGCTCTTGACTATATAGTCATACAAAAAAGTGATTGTTCCATGCAAAACTACAACGTCTAGGGTAAGCTCTTTTAACAACTTGTAATTCATCACCAGCCATGACCCTTCACCCAAAGCCATCTGCATCACCATAAATCCTTTTCCACAAAACTCTAGATAATAACAACCTAATATCACCGTTGAGAACATGAAAAATGTTTAATTTCTCCTATGGTGCTAACATACCATCTTTAAAAAAAAAGGTTTTGTCTTTTCAAAAATAATGCTAATGCTCTAAACATGTTGCCAGCCTTGTCGTTAAGGAATACCATTTTGTTTCCCAAAAGCTTTTCTAACCAAGATAACCAGTTAGCTTTAAACCATTCTTAACACCAATCTTTTCAACCAACAACATGCTTATGGTGCAAATGTCAAATCAAAAACCATGTGTCCTTCATTATTTTTTTTTTTTTTTAAAAAAAAGAAAAAACCATGTGCCCTTCATATTTGCTTGTCAAGATATTGCATACTATCAACTTGACCAAGATAATTGGTGTGGAACTTTTTGAATAGAGGTATCATGGTAAGAAAGAAAAGCAAATTAAGTTGTGGCGAAGACAACCACACTTGTCGAGCAAAAATTCTGTATGGTCAGAAAAAGTCTCGGTTTGGAACCAATTTTTGTATTTCGATTGAATTTGGTTGACAATTGAAAGAATATTGTGAAGAGTAAAGCCTCTCTTATACTATAGGTACCATTACAGCATTTGTTGACATTGATGCTTGCACGCGTTTCTAAGTATCTAAGAGAAGCAAAACAGGTCCCGACTGCACAAGATTTTGTAAAACGAAGTAAAGCGAGGAGGCTGCTACATTATCAGTCGCCAAACGAAGTAAAACCAGATAAACAAGTGGCAGAAAATTAAGGTACTTACTCCTTGCGTCGCCAAATGCTAAGCCTTCCATCAAGGTGAGCACAGTAGAGCAACTCGTAATCTGGATCCGGCAAGACATCCAGAAACTTTGCGCACCCTCGCGGCAATGCAGCCACGTAGAGTTTGGTCTCATACTGCAAATCAAACACCACCAGCTCCCTGGGAAACGTCGCGAACAGTATGTGTCTCCAGTGCGGCGAGAAAGAAAATCGCGCCATGTAAAGCGGGAACATTGCAGATGCGGGCGAAGATGAGGAATTACTGCTGGCAGCAGCGTCTTTTTCCAGCTTCAACAATTCGCTGCAATCGGTCTGGATCTGTAACTCCTTTATAACGACATTGTCCTCGGCATCGCCGAGGACCTTGACGGACAAGAGGAATCCCTTGAGCCCCAGGACGCAGAAGTGGCGGGAATCGAAGGGATCGCGGCGGATGCAGGAAAGGAATTCGGGGGAAGCATCGTACTTCCAGAAGCAGCGGACGGATGAGGGAGTGGTGGCGTACAGGGAGAGAGAGGAAGGGCCTGAAATCGCGGCGAGGATGTAAAAGTCCGGGCGAGCAAGGACCCAGCAAAGGTCCTGATGCCGAGCTTGGCGCTGGTGCTGTCATTTTCGGAAGGGTGTAGCCAGAGGATGACGGAACGGATGCGAAAATCAACGAGTGCGATGCGGCCATGGCGGTCGCCGGCGGCGAGGAGAAGATGGGAGGAAGAGGGCTCATCGGAGAGGAAATCGCGGCGGAGAGGAAGAGGAGTCCAGCGGACGGAGGTGATAAAAGGAGACAATGAAGAAGAAGACGAGGATGAGGGGGAAGGGGAGGAAGACGCAGAGGCAGAGGAAGGGGGAGGAAGGGGGACGGTGGAGATGAGCTGGAGCGATCGAGAGTCGACGACGGAGACGGAGGAGCCAGAAGCGAAGGCGAGGAGACCGGCGGGACTGAGGTCGGCGGATCCGAAATTATTACGGCTGGGTGGGCCAGGCAACATGGAGTCCCACGATTCGGTTGGCGATGGCCTAGGGATGGACATATTGGGTGTGTAGTAGTGTAAAATCAGTTGAAGAGGTGGTCGCAATTTAACATTGCGAATGGGAGAGAGAAGAAGAAGAAGAAGAAGAAGAAGAAGAAGAAGAAGAATATATAAAATCAACCACCATTCAAGCGCGAGCAGCGGAGACAGACATTAGCGGCGTTGATTTGGACATTTTCTGAATTGATTTATGAAAAGATTAGCAAGGGCGTGTGTATATATATATAAATATATATATATATATATATTGGTAATGCGATCAGTGAAAATATTACATATTTATTCAAGAACTCAAAACATAAAAGTGGAATGATTAATAAAGAAATTCCAATAAAATTAAAAGATTTACTCAGTCAATATTTGTAAATTTCAATAAATTAGTCGTACCATCCCTCTGTACTTTTTCCAAGACCCTGGCTGGTGAGTGACAACAACATTTACAAAACATTTGAATATATATATTCAAACTGTAAATTTTCTCATAAATTATAATTTGTGCCATTAAAAATAATTAAACTAAAAGTGAATGAGTAGATATTTTATTTTGTTTTACAGTGCTGACAAAGTTATGAGATGGGGTGTCAATTTTGATCTCCTCAGCCGCTGCGCTGCTAAATTGACGTCCCATTTGCTCAGGTTTTGGCCGGGAAGGTTTCAGTCCAACTTCATCTCCATCCGTTCAAACCCCTCCTTTTTAATTTTTTAGACCCAAAGAAAAAGTTGCAGGCACTTTTTCATTCCCCATCTCTCTTCTTCTATCTATTAATAGGAAAAGGAGAAAAAGAAAACAAAAAAAAACAAAAAAACAAAAAAAAAAGAAGCCTGTTCATGAATAAATATGGTAAACTCGTTGAATTATTGAGGAGGAAGAAAGCACTCTCCTCTCTTTTTTTTTTTTTTTTTACCCTCTATGTTCTGCTCTCTGCCCCAGAAGCAATGAACTGAAAAGGCATTCAATGCGAAACTGGGGATGCGTAAAAATTGAATACACAGCTCAACTATTTCATCTTCTGCCACATATATGCGTATACCATGTAGAGTAGAGTAGAGCAGCGCTGCTACCGTCTCTCCTCCCCTTTCTCTATGTGTTTCTCTTGTAGATTCTTTGTTTCTCGAGAGCTGGAGTTCTGATTTGGTTTACCGAAGAGGAAGATGCCGAGGCCTGGGCCAAGACCTTACGAGTGTGTGAGGAGAGCTTGGCACAGCGACAGGCACCAACCCATTAGAGGTTCCATCATTCAGCAGATTTTCAGGTTCTGGGTTTTCTATGTTGTTTCGTTTCTTCGTTACGCAGATTTTGGCTCGGTTTTCATCAAATTTTCTTGCATTTTGTGGTTGCACACCATGTGTTTGATTAGGCTCGTCACAGAGTCTCATAGTGCCGCGACTAAGAAGAATAGGGAATGGCAAGAAAAATTACCTGTTGTTGTCTTGAAAGCCGAGGAAATTATGTACTCCAAAGCAAATTCCGAGGTTTCTCTCTTCGATTTCGCTTTGGGAATTTTCGGATCTTCCACTTATGTATTCCTTCTCTTTCGCCTTTCTAATATTTTCAAATTTTTCCTTGATGCTTAGGCCGAGTATATGAACCTTGAAACTTTATGGGACCGTGCAAATGATGCCATAAATACGTATATCCGGAGAGATGAGAGCAATGAAAGTGGAGAGCTTTTGCCTCCGTGTGTTGAAGGTATGTTGATTTTCTCTTCTGTCCCATGTTCTTTATTACTTTAGTCTCAGTAACTGTGCTAATGGGTTTATTCTCATTTTGGATGCCTATAAATCCAGATTTATTCTAGTTTGCATCAAAAGCAGTTCTAAGCAAATTGAGCAGGAATTTGAAATGCATTTCCCTTTTGCTCTAACCTATCTTTATGGTGTTTAGCTGCGCTTAATCTGGGCTGTATTCCAGTGAGAGCTTCAAGAAGCCAACGACATGCTAACCCGCGGACGTATCTCACACCAAGAGCGCAGGAACCTGCTTCTGCATCTCCTAAGATTTTGGATAAAACTGTTAATGAACGGTGTCTTCAGTTGTCACCACTTAGTGCAGGAGATCAATTGAACTATGCGAGAGATATCCCTGCTGTGAATCCAGCTCTTCCTCTTGCTCAATCTAATTTTCATGCAACGGGTAATAGTAACTTCGCTTCTCCTTGCAGTTACCCTTTTATATACGAGAATATCTCTGAAGGCCATAACCAGATGAATGCCCAACTGAAATTGGGTTCAGTTTATCCCTTGTATTATGGAAGCTATCATCAGCCTGAACGGTCCACGGTAGGCTCCCAAGTCCCAGAGCATAGAAACACTAAGCCTATATTTGTAGGCAAGCCAGTTGGTACAGCAGCTGTGGATCGTGCTGAAACGAGTGGCTTGCAGAACCTTTTTTCATGTTCTAGTAGTGGTAGAGTTGCTCAAGTGATTAGACAAGCAGACTCCAAGGACATGCCCGGCAAGCCCCTGGAGAAAGAGTGTGATTTATCCTTGCGGTTGGGTCTATCCTCGGACCTATGCATGAGCTTAGAAAAGAGTTTGACCCCTGAAACCGAGGATGTGGGTTCAAGCTGTTCTGAGGGCGGCAAGTCTACTGCACTGTCTTCACAAAGAAACAAGGAGTATTGTTTTTTTCCACAGAAGACACTTGATGATCCCTATGAATCCTGTTCAAGTATTAGAAAGCGCAAAGCACCATATGGTGGCAATTCAGAGGATGATTAATTTGGCTGGCAGCCGGAGCTCCGATCTGGCCGCTTTATCAGTCATATAAAAAGGCCAGGTTCGTAGACAACACTTTTGCTGTAGTTTCATGTTTATCCAGATTGAAGATGCCTCAATATGAGTCGATTTTGAAATCTCCATTTTCTATGTTATCGGGTTGTAAAATTTACATGGTGATGAGTTGCTAGTTGGTATGCAGTAGAAAATGGAATTGTAAATAAAATCAGTTTGATTCAAAATTTTAGCTTCCGCTGAGGTAATATTTTTTGCTGAGTGATGTGGAGACACTAAATTGGGTTTAACATCAAAAGATTTACTTTTGGCATCAATCCGGAATCCATATACGTTTTAGCTTTGTTAAATGGTTACCTTAAATTGGATGATATTTGGGCCTTCTAGCAAATGTTTGAGTGAAATTTGAATCTATAAATTGATGGAGGGATAGAAACTTACTTATATGGCAATGTACCACATTGAAAATAGTCGGTAACGTATGTCACATTATCACTTGGGATCCGTTGCAAGAATGGTGCCAGGAGGCTACATTCAGGAATCAGCTTTCTCAACAGCTCTGGAGAATGAGTGGGATTAGTTCTTACATGTTTGTTATGTACGATAGATTCAGAGAGCTATATTTTATGAGTCAGTTCTGAGTTAGCAATATTTAAATTTATTGGCCTTTCATCCACTCTCTGCCTGGCAAAAAGACTAGCATACTTTCAGTTTTATTGGCTGGAAGGAAGGCTGAGTCACTTTGCAATTTCCATCACCCATTTCCATTTCTTCTCAGTTGATTTTAACAAGTCTTGGCTGAGTCACTCCTGTTTTGGTGACTCAAAATGGTTAGTGAAACTGTAGGAGGAAAGTTTGGTCTGGAAGTCGGTTGTAGAACATGAAATAGACCAATATGGGAGTGTAGTGACAGGATGGGGATGTTGGAGAGGTAATGTGCGTATCGTGTTTGTGGAGGGGATAATGTTTAGGGGTATCTAATTCTTTAAGGTTTTAGTGTGGCCCCCAGACTTGGGAGCTGTGACGTGATTTTTTCATTGTGGTCTGGAAAAGAGATGCACTAATGGTGCCCTTCTCTAACTTTGCCATTCCTACATGATTGATTGCATGAGCTTAGGTTTACCTATTTGTAGAACTTTTGTTTGATTTAATGGGTGCTAGTGGGAAGGACTGCATGAGTTGGAGGAATCAAAATTTCTTCCAAATGGGTCTTGTCCAAAGGTCATGTACGACTTTTTTTTTTTTTTTTTTTTTCTTTTGAGCCATGGTAAAGACATGATTGGACTAGTTTGAACTGCTTAAGGTATCTCATCAATGCCTCCTTTTCTTTTTTCATCTCTTTTGGATGTACAGGTTAAACTGGGTTAAAAATCAAGTAGTAGGTAAAGAATTATTCTCTCATGTGATCCACAGTAGCTTTCTCATATTTATATATATGCATGCTGGGTGGGAATTGCATTTCGTGCTGAAGTTTTACTATTCAACTTATGAAAATTGGGGATTTTCTTGAGGGAAGAGATGTTTGGAATATGGTTGGAATGAGACTCAACTTTTGTCTTTTTCTGGGTTAAAAGAATTAGAATCTAAGTAATTGTGAATGATAGGTATGTTACAGAGATGCTTTACTTAAATTAATTGTTATATTTTGGTCCTTCACATCATTGGAGAGGGATTTGTCTGCTGGTATTGTCCTTGTGTGCATAACATGGTGACTTTAGGGTTCGCTGTCCTTCACCTTTATGATAGGATGTCCTATACAGAATTCTGACCTTCTCTATAGTTTGAGATTCTTCTGTGAGATTCTTGCCAGCTTGATCCGAGTTCAATATGTTGAGAAAAAAATAAGGTGCCGTGCTATCGTGACAAGTGTGGAGTTAGTGTGATTTGTTTTCTTTTTACCCAAAAATAAATTTATAAGTCAAGTTTTTTTAAAAAAAAAAACAAATTAAAAAACTCAAAATTTATGGAAAAAGAAGCTCTGTAGGTTTACAAAATGATAGCACAGAGAGCAGTTGTGTAATGGTCTGGTTCTTTTTTGGTGAATGTTTGAAGTAGTGGCAGTTCATGGCGTGTAGTGTTGATGCTGCATTTTCACCCACATTGTGGGTTCCAACTAGGGACACACCATTGTCATTTGTGATGGTGCATCGCACAAACATCAAACATTTAATGCTACAACTTTCTTGTCCTGGAACTTTTTGTTGTAGATAATTCTCTCTGTACCATCAAATTGCTCAGAATAAACACTTGGGGGAGTCTTATCCTTTTACTTTTTATCTAAACAAACCAGAATAAACAACAGTAGTATTTCTCCAGACATTGTCATTCTTAACTTGTTATGAAATCACTAATGCCATTAAGCTTAGGCTTTGCAAGATGGAGTGTCATAAAAGACACTGTAGGCCTAATTAAAATTGTTTCAACATGCAACTCGATCCAAGTTGGAATCAGTTTTTGAGGAGGAGATTCTGCGTCGAAGTTAACCCAAAAAACCATCCTGTAATTAAGGTATTATAAAAAGGTGATAAAAATACTTCTCACTATAATTGTCTACCGCATGAATAATGCTACGGCAAGAGACAAGAATGTGGTGAAGAGGCCAGCTACGGCCATGGATGGTGCCGAGTTGGCGTTGCCGGGGGTAGGAGAGGGGGGCGCTGCTGCCGTCCGGAGATGGTGAGACGGGGACGTTTGATATCGGAGGGGAACGGGTGGCGGTGGATGGTGGTGGCATGGGCGCTGAATCAGAGCTTCCGTTGACGTTGATGGCGAACTTTTGGCCTGCACTGCAGCGGCCGGTAAAAGAACAAATGTAGAAGTGGTCGCCGGGCCGTGGTGAGGGCGATTCTTGTGGGTGGAGAGGTGGAGAGGTGGCGTTGCATGACTCATGTGCTTGCTTTCTCACCTCCGGCACGTTTGCCTTCCCCTTCACGTAGTTGAAAACTGCAACAGTAAATTACAATATTATTCTTCATTATACTATTAAATATTAATCACTTTTTTAAAAGAGTAATTATTCTATTCAAAGTTAAAAATCATTAATCAAATCAAAATCTACTTTCTAAATTTTGAAACTTTCCGTACCAAAGATGTCCACCAACCATGAAGCTCTTCCCACTGCTCCGTGCCTGATAAAAAGAGGCATTCGGAGGAACCATCCATCCCAAACTGTCTCCTACGGTGAAAGTCATCGGAGACCTCGTCGGAGCCGGCGAGGCATGGCTGGCTTCTGGTTCTGGAGCAGGAGAAGGTACAGATAAAGTAATGCTGCCCTGTCTTGTTCAGACCGATTGTAGCCGGACTAGTCGTGATCAGAAAAAACGGATTGCTTGGGTCGCAGGCGTCGAAATTCTCCTTGGTCACCTCCGAAACGTCGTGAACTCCATTGGTGAAATTGAATACTGCGTATAAAAAACTCAGCTTAATATTGAAAGAAGAGAAAAATAAAAAATAAAAAAAAATAATGGAAGAAGAAAAGTTTTGGAAGCCGCCCACGCAGAGTAAATATCACCGGTCGGGGGGAGAACCCAACTTAAAGCATGGCCCACAAGGTGTGTTTTCTGAGGAGATGAGGTCTGTAACAGAGCTGCAATGGCGGTCAGTAGGAGAAAGTAATTAAAGCATGTTGGGTGTTGGTTGAAGAAGAGGTGGCCCCTGGCAGAGAAATCATTTATCATGTATTTGTTTGTTTGTCTTTTGATGACTTACAGCGTTTACTCAGCACACAAGCATGGAAGAAGCCATGGAACCCAATATTAATATATTTGTTACATCATCTAGTTCTTTCCTTTCTTGGTTCGAAGTTATTGAAAAAGAAATTAAAATAATGTATTTAATTGCCTGAGTATGTATATAATTTAATGGAGTGGGTGAGTTCCAACCCCTTGAACATGGGGGTGGACGTTCAGATCCAACAATTCCGATCAACCCGACGTAAAACTGCTATGGTGAATGTAGAAAGCAAGCGTGCGTGTATGTATAGATCTATCTATCTATAGATACATATGGCGAGCCCAGAGTTAATGGGTTTATGGACGGACTGTCCACCCAATCCCACTTGAAGATAGTAATTAATATCTTATTCATAAAATAATTACGCAAGAAAAATTCAATGGGAGTGGGTGCCCAAAAGTTGACAACTTACCACTTGTAGGGGCGGATATCGTCCACACATGTATTAATCACGTCATATAATATAATATATACATATACATATACATACACACACATGCACATGCTTATCTTTTCAATATACTTCAAAAATAAACTTCCCAACTTTTTCATTATATGAACAGAGAATTTGAGTACGTGAATCCCATTTTTTTATTAAATTTCTTTTGCTTCTTGTTTTAAATAATTAAATTTGAATTAAAGAAAAAAAAAAAAAAAGGAAATGGTGTATGTCCAGAAAATTCAATTGATATCCTCACCAGCTGAAAAAAATGAAATCACAAACCACAAGTCCATAATACTGCTGGAGTTGTAAAACAAACTCCATTAATTCAAACTCCATAGCTGAAAACACCTCTAATTTATTATGCCACAGGATACAATGAACAACATCGAGTACAACAACCCTGTAAATTAAATACCAGACGAGGACTATATATGTATATATATATATATATGCTGACATAAATAAACTCCTAACACAACAAAACTATAACAGAGTACAGGAAGGTAACCAAGAAAGTAGCCGCGGAGAGGGAGGAGGCCGAGCTGGGCGACGGTGGAGTCGAAGTTGTATTGGGTGTTCCAGGAGTAGTAGGGGTCGTGGGGGCGGAGGTGGGGGGAGCATTGGCACTGACAACGTTAACTGCTAGTTTCTGGCCTCTGGTACAGTGAGTGGGAATTGTGCAAATGAAGAAGCGTTCGCCAGTGGCGTTAAGGGCGATAGTGGCCGGTCCGGTGGTCGTAACGGCGATGGGGTTGGAAGTGTTGCAGGCTTCAAAAGCTGCCTTTGTCACTTCCGCAACATTGTGAGCTCCAGTCGTAAATTCAAACTCTGCAGTCACAGAGAGGAGCATGAGATTCCAAAATCAATTTGTACGCTTACTAGAGAAATGGTTTCTTTTTATAGAAAAGAAATTGAAGTATACCTAGAGTGTCGCCGACTCTGAAGGTTCGTCGGGAAGCCCAAGTGGCGTAGAAATTGACGTCGTTGGGGACTTGCCAATCGGTATCGTCGCCGACGTCGTGATCTTCTGCGTTTGCTATCTGCAGAGGAACTGCTGCTGCTATGACGAAGACCAAAAACACTGCCGTTTTGGTTGACACAGCCATGTTCTCTGCGGTTCAAGTCGCCCCTGTGCGGATCTGGTTTCGGTGTTTGGTTTGGTGGGTATAAACCTAGCCCTGTGCTTTGATTCTAATACATGCATACATACATACAGACATATATATAGAGAGAGAGAGAGAGAGAAAGGTATGCGGTGGAGAAAAAGGGAAGAGTAAAAAGTCCAAAGTGATGAGTTGGGAAGAAGAGAAGATGGTTCGAGGTGGGGTGTGAAATAACGGGGTTGACGGGATTGAAAAAGACCAAGTCAGACTCAGACTCAGACCCGATTAAAATAAATAATAAAATAGTCAAATATGTCTGCTTGACTCCGACCTTAAAAACATATTTATTTTAATAATATAATTTTTTAATAGTAAAAAGCTGCTTTATAATTAAAAAATAAAAAATTGAGAGAATTTTATTAATTGGTAGAAAGTTTCTTTTTTTTTCTTCGTACGGGCAATGGACACGTGGTGGGAACGTGAAAAGATCCACTCAAACGCGTTTTTGCCGTAATAAACCATCATTAACTTAAATTAAAATAAATATAATTAATTAATTAACTTAAAAGTTCATGTGCATTTTTTCACTCTACTTTAAAATAAGTGGGGAGACTCAGAGTGATTTGGTCTCTACAATGGGTTTTTAAGGCAAACAGTTACTCGGTCGGGATTAATAGAACCCTTATCACTCTTATTCTTAAAGTTGCAAGATCGAAAAATATTAAAGAATTTCGTCTGATTAGTTTATTAACAGTTTTATATAAAATCGTTATAAACTCATCACGAATAGATTTAAAAGCTTTATGTCTTTCTTGATTGACCTTACCCGAGCTAGTTTCGTTGTCGGGCGAAGTATCACTGATAGTATTATTATTGCCCAAGATGTGGTCCTCTCAATGCAAATCTTACGGAGGGGGGGAGGGAAGACAAGTAGATGACGATTAAGGTAGACTTAGAAAAAGCATATGATCACATCTGATGGGAGTATCGAGAGGATACTCCGATTGATGTTGGTCTCTCTCTTAATCCTTATAAGAGTAATTATGCATTGTATCTCCACTTACTCCATGCAATTGTTATGGAATGGTTGTCTCATTCATGAATTTTGGTCTACTAGAGACATTTGATAAGGGAACCCGCTTTCACCCTACATATTTGTGCTATATATGACATGACTATCCCATTGCATCAATAACTTGGTAAAAAATGGTATGTGGAAGTCGATCCGCCTTGGTAAAAAAGGCTATCTCCTTTCACACCTTTTTTTTTTTTTGCAAATGACCTTGTAATCGTTAGGAAAGCCAATGATAACCAGGTTCAGGTTATAAAAATAATTTTGGATGATTTATGTGCTAGTTCGAGCCACAAAGTGAGTGCGAATAAGATATTTATCTTCTTTTCTTGCAATGTTAACATATGTGAAACTAATCCTATTAGTAAGAATTTTGGATTTCAAGTCTCTAATAACCTTGGTAAATGTTTGGGTATTTTATTGTTACATGATATAATCAACAAAAATACTTATCACTACATATTTGAGAAAATTAACCAGAAGTTTATCTAGCTAGAATACTAACTTTTCCTCTTTTGTAAGGTGTTTAACTTTGGTCAAGTCTATCCTTGTGACTATCTATCCCTATGCTATGTAGACCACGACCTTACCCAAGACCTTATATGATCATATTGAAGCGTTAGTCAAGAAGTTTGTTTGGGGCTAGGTTAATGGCCACAAGAAAGTCAACCTTGTCAATTAGGAAGACATGTGCATGCCTTGTCACACTGGGGGAAGCGGTCTTCAGTCCATCCATAAGCAAAACCAAGCTTTCTTGATAAAACTGAGCTTTGTAATGGTGGCTAAACTCAACCTCCAATGGGTCCAGGTTCTCACCACAAGTACAAATTGCTTGCCTTGTCATTGAGCTATAAACTTGCTATATAACAACCTCCCATCTTTAGTGCAACCTCAACCATATTTGAACAGACCTTCGTGTGAGCATCAAATGATTTATTGGCTCTGAAAAAAAATTTAGATTTTGGGAAGACTACTGGTTAGGGTATCTAGGGCCACTTAAGCTTATGGTCTTCACATCTATTAAGGAGTAGGATCTCCATAAAAGTGTCAGGGATTACGTGGCGTTGTCTTGCCAATGGGATTAAAATGTCTTATACCAGGTGTTGTTGATGGATACACTGCTCCAGATGGCAGCGATGTCAATTCTTAAAAAGAATAATATTCCCTATTTTTACTATTGGGGTATGACAAGTTCTGGGTGCTTTTCAGTTAGTTCGGTTTACACCTTTCAGGAGAGCGACCATTTGCATCCGGATGATAGGAACTGGAGAGATATTTGGCATTGGTCAGGTACTCAGCGTGTAACGACCCCGGAAAATATTAAAATGAAATGAGTATTTAAATATATCAAATGCGGAAGCGAGATCAAAATTTTATTTAACATCCCTTACACGAAAAACCAAACAAACGTACTTAAAATATAAAAGATTAAACTAACTAAGAGAGAAACTCGAAAATAAAACTATGCATATGACTACAGAGTCTCTAGGCATCCCCTTCGTCGTCCTCCTGCGGAACGGGCTCGGGAACCATGTCTTCCTGATCTGAAATGGTTAATTAAGGAGTGAGCTACACTAGCCCAGTAAGAACATCACGATATCTCACCGTCACGGAGATAAAGGTGGGTAGAAAACCCCAAAAAGACCAATGGAGCATAATTTACAATAAACTCGTTTATTAACAACAAAACCTTTTATCAATAATAAAACTTTGACCATCCACTTACCTTGGTGGAATTTATGAAAACAATATGAGAAAAACAATAACATTATCATAATCATTGAATAATCTAAGCTGTAAAACATAACACTTATCACGCCTCTTGTAATTCAATCATTGTACAACATATCCTTTTTTCTCATTTACCAGCCTACTAGTATCCGTGGGGGTCCATAGGGGTTCCGCTACCCGTTAACCTTTAACATTCATAATCAGTTTCCAGGGCCGTCCCCATACCCCGTCCGGTATGGGCGCCAAAACCATAAACCTCAATACCCCGTCCGGTATGAGGGTGAAACGGGCCGTCCCCATACCCCGTCCGGTATGGGCGCCAAAACCATAAACCTCAATACCCCGTCCGGTATGAGGGTGAAACGGGCCGTCCCCATACCCCGTCCGGTATGGGCGCCAAAACCATAAGATCTCCATACCCCGTCCGGCATGTGAGACCACAATCCCGGTAGGGTTCCCTACGGACCCGGTCCGTCCACCATCTCCCAGGATATCTAGTCAGGCTGACCCCATCATACAATTATCAGTCTACACAATGTTTCATTTCCCTTTTCCTCAATAAGCATCATCAATTCACATTTAAACAAGCAAATCGTAATTCATGCCGAACAGACAACATATAGCATCAATATCCCAGTCATTCAACCCATAATTAATAAAACAGTAATATATGCATTCGAAACTATAAAATGAACACATCAAACCCCATAATGCATTTAAAGCTGTAAAACAGTGTAAAACATGCCAAATAACAGTAAATCATCAATCACACTAGACTCGGGCTCCATTAGCAACCTTAAGCAATTTCACACATGCGTTAATTCAAGAAATACCGTTTTATCATTTTGAACTTTAATACCGTGATAGGAAATAGGGTGAGGGGTCCTTACTTGTTTTCGGGATCCGAATACGATTCACAGTGCGCCTGCAGGCTGTCCCTAATTTTCCCCTGAATTTTTCCCGGGGAACTGAAACACGCTAACAGTACCTGCACGGGTTCCAAAAAAAAATCCAAATTAGGCCCAGGGCCTCTTTCGGCCCAAATCGCAACTCCGGCACGGCGGCTCCGCCGTGCTCCGGCGACGGCGCCGCCGCTGGCGGCGGCGAGTCGCCTCGGGTTGACTGTTTTCGGCCGCTTTTGGCCGAATTCGGCCACACTCGCATTGGTCCTTGTCAGAAAACAACCCTAGGGCCCTCGGGGGGCCAAAAAATCACGGAAAAGCGGAGCTTACCGGCGGCGGCGCTCTCGGGTACGGCGACTCTCCGGCAAGTTCGTGTTTTGGTGATTTGGCTTCGGTCAACCTGTAGAGAAAAGAATGGTGATCACGGTGATATAAAAATTGCATCGAACGGAGGCCGGGAAGGGCTTCGTCGGAGGCAAAAACCGAGAGGGGGCGCGGCGGTGCCGCTGGGCTTCGGTTGCGTATTCCGGCCGTTTGGCCAGGATTTCGGCTTCGATTTGGCCATAGGAGGAATCAGTGGGGAGAAACGAGTCGGGGGTATGAAATTTACCTCGATCGGCGGTCGGAAATTTCCCCGGTGCGGCGGCGAGTGGCGGCGGGTGGCGGCGGTCGGCCTCTGGTTCGTCTTCTCCGGCGAGCGGCTGGCGGCTAGGGTTTGTGGTCTGGTGTGGAGGTTCTATTTATAACCCCTTGCCTTTTGATCACAGCCGTTCATTTTGTTTTAATCTGGGCCGTTCGTTTTTGATTGAATCTGGGCCGTCCGTGCGATTGAATCTGGGCCGTCCGATCGCGTGATTGATCTGGGCCGTCGGATCGCACCCACGCGGATCGCCAACGTGGCTCCCTTTGGAGTGACGCGGTCTTGCCACGTGGCAGGCCCTGGTTGGCCGGGACTGCTGACCGGGCATGCTGACGTGGCTGCTGACGTGGCCGCCCTTTTTTTTTCTTCTCCTTTCCGGGTGCTACAACTCTCCCCCCCATAAAGAAATTTGGTCCCCAAATTTGCCTCATTACTCTTGATCAAACAGATGAGGATATTGGGCCCTAAATTCTGATTCCAGCTCCCAAGTCGCCTCCCTAGGCGTGTGGTTCTGCCACAAGACTTTTACAAATGATATTTCCCGGTTACGGAGTATTCTGCTTTCTCGGTCCGTGATACTGACCGGTACTTCTTCATAAGAGAAGTCCTCTCGGAGTGAGAGCGGTTCATGAGCCACGACATGAGAAGGGTCCGGATTGTACTTGCGCAGCATAGATACATGAAACACATTGTGAACCCGGGAGAGCTCAGGGGGCAGTGCAAGTCTGTAGGCAGTGGTACCAATCTTGTCTAAGATTTCAAAGGGTCCAATGTATCTGGGGTTTAATTTTCCCCTTCTGCCGAACCTACTAATTCCCTTGAAGGGGGTGACTTT